TAAGTGTTACTGCGAAGCAATTATTAATTTGTTTATTGACAGTGGTTTATTTACAATCAATATTCACTACTTGCAATACAAAAAGAAATTGTTATATACCCATTCGTATCTCAAATTAATATTGACTGATACAGTGGCGTAACGAAGGACTATGTTTGAGGCACGGCCTCATTTTGAGGGGTGGTGGGTGTCCTCAAAGATCATCTGATGTGTTAAAAAAAGTATTATTATTTAAATGAATAAATATATTTTATCTTAAAAAAAAAATGTTCAATGTTTTTTTTGTGATGGGTGGGGTGGGTGGTGGGTCTGACAATATAGTAACTATGCCTCATAACTTAATAAAGTTCGCCACRCCAMTGGACTGATGACTGATATAATATACATAATAATGACGGTTAAAATTGTAAAATTGTTTTAATTTTTCGCAGTCTTATCATGGCATCGGAGGAAAACGAATACAGACGTAACCGAAAAAATGTTCTACATAAATTGCAAAGAATAGTTTCAAAGAATGCACAATAATATAGATATTTAATTCAAGTTCTTCAATAGTCAATACACAAACAAGTTTTCATAGTATTAGAAAGGTTTCCATTCTTATCTTTTAAAAACTATAATTAATATATTATAATTACATCTTATTACCTATAAACGAGCACAGTTTATCTACACGAGAGGTATCAAATATTTAAATATGGATTACACAAATAAGCTTATAGTATGAACCTATATTGTAACATAAATAAGGACTTTGAATATTTAAACGGAAGTGAGTTCACCAAAAAAAATAGTAAGTATATAAATATATTTTGCTCCACATATCATAATTATTACTTGCATTAATTGCCGAATTTCCGAGTAAATGTCGATAAGGTTWGGTTAGAATAAAACATAATGTAGAAGTTTTTATCGAGTTTATTCACTGATTCACCAGTAGTAAAATAGTAGGTACCTAAGTAAATCGTACATCGTACTTATATATTTTTATCGATAAATCTGAATCAATAATTTGTATACGCGAAGCCGGATCCGGCTTCTCTCGGCTCTCGCCCGTGTCAAAAGATACATAAATAATCAAATTTCACCACGAGGTTATAGTAAGCTTCTCTCACCTCTAAATAAATTACTGATCTCCTATGACTAATAAAATGATAAAATATGTGATAAATCATGCTACTAACCTATAACATGTGATTTGAATTGATAAGTATTGTACATGAAATTATTGAAATTAGAAAACTAATGATTTTTTTAGCTAATACAGACAGTTGTAAAGGTAAACTAAAAATTACGATAATTATTATTATTCAAAATGTAACTCTTACATAATTACTTATATAAAAATATTATGTGCTTTTGAATAATCTAAGTCTCTCTAAATTCAGAAAGATGCTTGAAATAGGAATACTCAAAATTGGGAAAATACTGGGAAATTCTAGAATAAATTTGATGATGACTTGATGTGCATAATCAACACCTACAGACTTAGTCTGTGTAGTGACCAATGAATAATTAATTGATAGTAAAGTCAATAATCGACTAAAGAATATTATTCGATTTATACTTTTTGAAAAATATTATGTTAATCGACCATTTTGTATAAAAAAATACCAAGTATTTTGGGACATAATGCATGGGTGCAAATAGTTAGTTATTCAGCCAGTGGCGGCGCCAAGGGGGGGGGGGCAATGTGGGGCTAGTGCCCAACCCAAATTTGGTTTAGCCCCACCTTTGCCCTACCTGTTTGAGACCAAATGAAAATTTAAATTTCAAGTATTTAATAATACCATTTTCTCGCYATATTCCATCTATTTCATATGTATTTGATTAAGATTATGTTTTATTATATATTTATATTACCCATCACAATATTGTGTGAAATTTCTCTTCTCCGATTAGCAGTTAAACACCACACGGAGTATTAAATATGGTTATAATTTATCAATTATGGGACAACTGCTTATCACAATGTTGGAGTAATATAATTTCGGAGAAGTTGCTATTCGTGGTAGTATTGTTATTTCACTGTTTAAACCACGGTCATGGCGCAGATTAGAATTAAAACTTTTACCAAAATTAATAAAAAGACAAAAAGAAGAAAATAATTATGAAATAAAGACTATACTTGATTTCGCAAAACTATTGGACAACTATAAAATGGCTTTTTCAGAAACATTTATCTTATGCAAAATTGCTATTATAATACCACCTTCAAGCGCAGGAGTGGAACGAACATTTTCAARTCCAAAGCAAATAAAGACTTATTTAAGARACCATATGTTCAATGAAAAACTAACATCTGTTGCTATATTAAAAATTGAAACAAGAATATCCAAAAGTTTATATCTAGATATAGTTGTAGATAAATTTGCCTCCATCCATAATAATCGACGAATTATGTTGTAAATGTTATAATGTTTAAAATAATATAAAACCAAAATCCATACAAATTTTTACTTTTTATCAGTTTACCTACTCCTCTCTTTTACATTAGTGTCTGATTWATATGATTACAATAAATGCCTTTAATAGCCGATATACCAAAATATAAATTCCATTAATAAAAGTATTATGGAAAATCCAAATATAGAGCAATAATAAACTAATTACAAATATATATTTGCCCCACCGAAAATTTTTTTGCCCGGATCCTGCCTCCCTCCCCCAGAAATAAATGTCTAGTGCCACCCCTGAGTCTTATTCTTATTACTTATTAATAAAATATTATTTTTTATTTACACCCACCAAAATTAAGTCCAGTGGAATTCGTTGTCCAATAAAATATGAATGGTCTAAGTTCGAAGAAGTTCATGTAAGGAACAAGAATAGGTAGATCGAGAGATAGATGAATAAATTACTCGATAAATTATMATTTCACATCCTATACAATATTATACAGACAATTTCGTAAATTCAATACCAAATAATAAACAAAGTATTTATAAAAAATCAAATGTAATTTTAATAATTTTAAATTTTAAGTATACTATAAATTTATAATAAAGCCTATATATTTATTTCTCGCATGATTTTTTTTTTTTTTTAATGGTGTCAATATTTATTGATTAATAATTGAGTAATTGGCAAAGAAAATTGAAGAAAAATATTCAATGAAACATGTTTTTTACGATTAGTAATGGCTTAAAACACATCATCCCCACTCAAAGATAAATATAAACCAACATGTTTGACGTCGGTAATTCGGGTATACGCACATCTTTTGGCCGATGCAATCTATTCAAAAGCAATATAGTAGATAARAGGACAATTATTTTAAATTAATTTAATGAAGAATTTGATGCATAAAAGAATAAACAAAAAAGCTAGTTTTAAAGTATAGTGTGTATATATATATATATATACTTAGTAGTCAGTGATACACGTCATAAATACCTATCGAGTTCCACATCCCTCCACTAACTGAATCCCATCAATGAAATTTTCCATAAAAAACTAAAAACTATCAATCGATAATTAAATAAATTTCAATTTTTAACAAATAGGTAACTATTAAGCATTACATATTTTTAAAACAGTAACCTCAAATCATATTTTTAATGATAAAATAGTACATGTTAAAAATTCGGCCACGCCCCCCTCCCCTGGCGACAAAATCATTTGACACGCCTATATATTATATTTTTTCTTCAAACAATTTTTTTTTGATTTAGTGATAAATATAATAAGTCGTAAGACTCTATGGCTTTTAAAAAAATCAGTTACTTAATAGAAAAAACAATAATAGGTACCAACCTAAATACAGTTTTGAATAATTTTGGTTCAACATAATTGTTTAAAAAATGTAACGATTTATCAATGGTTTCGAATTTAACGATACCTGTGGTCTCCTCAACTCGACCTATAWTTCGAATAGATGTCATTGATTTAATAACTGATAAGCGTAATCATGGATACGCCAAAGGGTTTTCAATTTGTCGTGGATATAATGAAATCGTCATATTATAATATTACCGTAACCTACTAAATATTAAATAGCTACAGTTAATTTAGCGATAGGACGGTATAACTGGTCTCATGCTTGATAAATAYTTGAATATTATCATATTGAAAACGTATTGTATCGTAAATATTGAAAAAAATCGCAACCACAATCATTATGTTGTACATTAACTAGAATACTAGATCACATAATATTATATTCGCATGGTTTTCTGGGTGACAGCAAGCCAGTTGTAATTATATGCTGGCTTAGACATTCTATTATGATAACAATTATTGTTGTTTTCGTCATTGTCGGTTGGATAGACCAAAATATCATACAAACAAATGGCGTGGAACATATTATTATTACTATTATCGTCGCTCAGGTGTTTTCACCGTTTCACYTCCCACCCGCCCACCAACCCACTTAACCGAAAGCACGACGTTGACGGCCCACTCGCGCGAAAAAAATTCGTAGTCTCGACCGCGATAACTGTTATCACGATGCGGGTGGCGTTGGATGGTCGCAAAAATCGGTTGTAAATATTATACGATACACACACGGTTGTCAATAGGTATACTTTTTTTTTTTTAC